AATTTTGGAATTTTTATACGTTATTTTCACGTTCAGCGTTCAGGTATCTTCTAATGCGCGACAGCTATAGTTTTTTTAAATAACTATTTCTCTAATGTCTGTCAGCTCGCGTCCGCTATTAAACAAACATAGTCTTCAGCTTTATAATCTACTATATAAAAATAAGTCGGGTTTTCCTTCCTGACGCTATAACTCCAGAACGCACGAACCGATTTCCACGGTTTTGCATTCGTTGGAAAGTTCTCGGGCTCCGTGGGGTTTATAGCAAAGAAAATTCAGGAAAAATTATAAAAAAAAATCTTCTTTTAATCACCAAACGAAATGTTACATAAAAAGAAGCCATCTGGTGGCGAAACGGAGTTCGCCGGGTTTGCTAGTCTTATATAAAAAAATCTCGTGTCACAATGTTAGTTACCATACTCCACCGAAACGGCCTGATTTTTATGAAATTTTATAGGTATGTTCCGTGGGTCTGAGAATCGGCTACTATCTATTTTTCATATCCATAAGTGTCTACCTGTAACGTAGTGTTCTGAAACCTACAATGCGCCTTCGCGCCAAAATTCAAACTATTGGATATTGTAACGTAGTGTTCTCATATAGGTTAGGAGGAATGTTATCCCAGGAAATTGATAAATAACTACGTTACACACCCCTAAAATTTTTTTGGGCAATATTTATTTTTTTACAATGTGGTATTAAAAAATACATACAACCCTAAATTTTCTCTTCTACCACCTGCCCCTATTTTTATGGCGGTACGAAGTTCGCTGGGTCAGCTAGTATAATATAGATGTGAGTAGGTACTAAACTGGCGTAAGTAATACATGCAAAAGTACTACCAATTTCGTCTTGAAGGCGATTTTAAAGAAAGTTACCGAACACCTCATTCAGTACACTTTTTTCTAGGTCGCGACCCAGATGCGATCGCCATTTTTTGCACAGCTCTTAGCAACACGGTTTCCTTAAAGTTACCATGTTTTATTTAGCACCGTCGACAATGGATAATGTTTGTAATTAGCATAATTAATTAATGATTTTCTTAAATAGTACCTATTAATTCTTTTAAGTTTTTTAAAGTGTCATTAATATGTTTTTTATGGTATCGTTAATGCGGTGATTAGTGCATTCGTTATTTGTCCCTTGCAGCTGTTGATTTTACCATGTTTTATTTAGCATCCTCGACAATGGATAATGTTTGTAATTAGCATAATTAATTAATGATTTTCTTAAATAGTACCTATTAATTCTTTTAAGTTTTTTAAAGTGTCATTAATATGTTTTTTATGGTATCGTTAATAAATGCATTCGTTATTCGTCCCTTGCAGCTGTTGAAAAACAAAACTTCTAGGTTAACATGAAGATACGGCCATTTATCTGTCTGTCTGTCTGTCAAGACACCTTATCTCGGGAATGTGTGGTAAGGTATCGAGTTGATATTTAAACCGTATACTTAGGTCTACTACGGTCCCTCGAAGCTGTGGAAAACAACAGACTTCTACGTTTATATTGCGTACTTAGGCCTCGTTTCCATCTGCAAGAAAACTTCTGCTAGAAATGTCCGACAGTCTGTCCGACAGCCACTTGCAAATTTTAACTACGCGGCAACAAAACAGTTTACTTTTGCAAGTTGCTACCGGACAGACTGTCGGACATTTCTAGCAGAAGTTTTCTTGCAGGTGGAAACGCGGCCTTACAATTTTGTACGGAACCCTCGGTGGGTGAATACAACTCTCACTTGTTCGCATACACTAATATTATAAAGGCGAAAGTGTGTGAGTGTGTATGTTTGTTACTTATTCACGTCTAAACGGCTGGAGTGATTTTTATAGAATTTGGAGTGGATGCGGGCCCAGTGCGGAGCACCCGCCCGGTGCTAACGACTGCAGATGCAGCCGGGACGGCTTAACATGCCTTCCGAAGCGAGGAACTCGAGATAGAAGATTTTTGGTCGCCTATCCAATGACCGACCACTGCAAAAGTTGCTTGGCGTAGCCGAACGCGCTAACCACGCGCGCCATCGAGCTCTTCTAAATCATCATCAGCCTATTAATGTCCCCACTGCTGGGGCACAGGCCTTCCCTATGGATGGAATAAGGAGATTGGGCCATGACCCACCACGCGGGCCCAGTGCGGATTGGTGGGTGCTAACGACTGCCGATGCAGGCGGGACCAACGGCTTAACGTGCCTTCCGAAGCACGGAAGAGCTCGAGATAGTAATTTTTGGTCACCCATCCAATGACCGACCACTGCGAAAGTTGCTGAAGTTCAACAATCGCAGCCGAACGCGCTCTTCTATATATTTACTATGAATTTACTGGATTTATTTTATACTTGTATTATGTAATACAAGGGTAACACAGCAAGAAAGCTGATATTTACTAAACAATGTTGAAGCCTACCAGATATTATGCAAGAGATAACATTGACTTTCATTAGAATGTCTGCACTTTGTTAGAACACAATGTAACTAGAGACACTATAGGTATGAATTACATCAAAATACTTTTCCAATCTCCCTCTTCCATCCATAGGGAAGGCCTGTGCCCCAGCAGTGGGGACATTAATAGGCTGATGATGAATAAATTATGATCACATTTCCAAATTATACCAAGAAAGGATAATTTTTAAATTAATCGATATAACTCATACATTTAGGCCCGTATTACATAATGACAACTAAGTGTTGATCTTTACTTGAGTACAGTTAGAAAGGGATATCACTATGTGCTATATATAGCGACATCTCTTTCTAATTACGCTCAAGACTAGATGAATCACTGAGAATCTTTCTATAATACAGGCCTTAGTGAGGCTGTTTAGAAATATCTTACTTAGACAGCATATAGTTTTTCTTTATTTAAGAAATATATGAGAAATATTATAAAATTAATATTTATGCAGAGAAATGGTATCTTCTGCTAGCTCAGTCCCTGTAGCATAAGCACCACAATTTACATTATATCACTTTTTTATTAGGTCTAAATGTCAAACTCCATAGTAATATGACAATTGAGTGTGATAAAAACATGTTTTATATTACATTACAGTGCTCATGATGGGAGGCAGGGTTATTTCAACAGTTATTAATTAGAACCTACCAATCCACAGTGGGCTCACATGATGGGTCATGGCCACAGCCCATTCTACCTATTCCATCTTACAGAATTGGCATAACTATTGGCAAAGGCTTTGTGAATAGTTTTCTATCACCTATACCATAACAAACACACATTTAAGTCTAAGTAACCAAGAAACTACAAAATAAATAATGACTGTATGATGATGAATAATCTGTTCTCGAGAAAGGACTTGTTGCACGAAATACAAATGTTCCAACATTAATTACCTACTCGAGGATAATTCGAAGCTCTCTGTATTATGAATTCAGTAAAATTAATTAAGCGATGGCTTGAAAACCAGCTTTGGTGCAGGTCTAGGCTTGAATGACATTGGCTGAGCCATTCCCCATTGTCTTACTTTTATTGAAATATTATTTATAATATCTGTTAGCATGTAAACATACAATACATTATTATTATTCAAGTTGTATGTAAGAAGTTCCTATAATACAAGTGAATTACTAACAAGGACTAAAGATAATATATTTCCCAATCAGTATGGGAGCTAATTAATATTTTTGCTAATAGAGTGCATAAGAAGAGGTTTATCATTATTGGCCACTAGAAAAAAGATATTGAACTACAGCGGGAATAATTCCTTATACAGTGCGCCAGAACTATATTGTGTAATTACTAAAAATGGTGAAGCAAAAATAATTGATATTGTACACAAGCAGACCCGTCTTTCCCAGTGGGCACTTTGGGCAAGTGCCCAGGGCCCCGCGATCGATAGGGGGCCCCCTCAGATCAAATACAAAGTCCTTAGTTCCTGTTAAATCACCAAACGGAAGTCATAGGGGCCCCATTATCCTAATATGCCCAGGGCCTCCAATAGGTCATAGACGGTACTGTACACAAGTTAATTAAGAATTTAAATATTGCTTTACACAATTATAAATAGTGACTCAGATTAGCATTCATTACTAAAGAAACAATAATATCAACCTAATGTTCGAAGTAATTATGAAATCACTTATCATTTAGACAAAATTAGGTATTTCATTTGTAATGAAATTGCATGATTTCATATAATAACAAATGTAGCTTCGACTTATATTATGTTGATGAGTAAACAATGTTTGTTTACAAAGTATTGATAATATAGTTATGTTTTCACCTGCTATTTCAAAGAATCAATGATAGCGATACAATAATAACGGTTACAGGTTATCTAAGTAACAATTCGAACCATTTTTACCTGTTTGTTTACCTACAGAAGTTGGTGTTTACGAGAAACTACAAAATACAATATAATTTTAGTATAGAAGAGAACCATTGGTTATTAAAGTAATTTTAGTCAAGGAATTACAATCGCAAGAGATACCAGGACATCATAACCGACAAAGGGCTGTGTTTCTTCGAACTTTCGAGCGTGAGGTGCGAATAACACGCAAAAAGGCGGTTCGTCGAGGTAAAATTAGCGCGGGCAGACAGGGTCGATCACCACAGTTGCCCTACGTCGCGCGCTTGCGTCTACAGCTGTCTGTCAGGGAGCAGTGACCTACAATTTCTCAAACCACGCCATCATTACGACCCTAACCTATACTGAATGTAATCAATAAATGTTTGCACGAAAACATGACTGAAAGATAGCCTTTAAGGGTAGAAATGTAGGTTATTACTCACGGGGAGAGCGGGAAATCCCAGTAATCCGAGCGAAAGTGTCCACAGTGACGCTGTTAACACTTCGGTGTTTCGTCACCCTTTTCCATCTTCGAAAACGATCACAACACAGTTTATCACTTCTCGTACACATTATTATGCACAATAGCGCATATTTTATAAATGAAAACAAACTTTCAGTCCGCAAAATACACGTTTCTAACACATGACTCGACAAAAACATTGCACTGCCATTCACATTTTTTGTTGAAAAGGATACACTTGAAGCCTCTGGCCCATATCCTGTATTAGATTTGCGGCCTGCTGCCGATATGCTAGCTCCTTATCTGCATCTAAACCGCATTTTCTGCTTGGTGAATTCTGTAGCTGCTCTTTTGTAAAATACCATTTTTCTTGTCCACCAGCCATTGAACGGATGTTGCAATGACTGCGCGGGGAAAAGCACGACGGAAAGCAGTGCTCCGTCTACGTGCGTGAGTGGGAAAGGGACAGCGCTATGACAGCGGCGACCGGATAAAGACCACGTTAACATTTGAGTAATTTACAAACTAAAATCTAACCATTTCGAAGTTAATAACATAAAATAGACCACTGATTAATAACTAAAATTATAAAACGTTTTTCAGATTTAAAATAACGGAACAAACTAATTGAAATAATATTGTCACTACTTGAAATTTTGATAGATATTCTCAGACGGACGCCATTGTAAAACTTGATGGTGAACGTAGTGTGATCTCCGGTGACAAAATGATGATCTGCAACAAACACAGGTACGTTTCACTTTATCACTACGTTTATTGTTGTACTATGAATGGAGCTCTTTCTTTTGTGTATATTTTTGTAATGATTCATTAACTTTTTATCGCGAAAATCCGACTTTAAAAATACGGACCTTATAACTCTGTGTCACCGTGCAAATGGCCGACCAACCACTGTTTACAAAACACTTTACTTTTTCCAAGGTGGAGATCATTAAATTTATCACTTAAGAGTCCACTTATGATGCAGTAATTAGTTAATGAATTTTAGAAAGTGTTCTATATTACAATAAATTTATTGAGAACTATAGTATTAACATAATAAACTAATTAGAAACTTCATTGACATCCCGGTACGTAGTAAATTTTTTGCGCGCGACACGTAGTATTAATTTTCCCTTTCGAGCAAAGTTTTCTTAATAATTATTACCAAATATTGTGAAATAATTCAACAGCATTGTAAAGAAGTGTTTCTCAATTCCTTAAACATACTTGAGATTTGTCCTCGCAAACTTTATTATTTGTATTAATTATTTGTGATTTAGCACGAATTAGAATGTTCAGATTTCGTAGTGAAAATTTAACTCATTTACATGCACACAACATAAGATTATCTGAATGTAAGTTGACCTTGCTTGCTACTACGGTTGTACTGTAAATAGCTGAAAACGTGAAATAGTGTTGAAATATCTACGAAGTTACACTTTTTGTGTTAATTTAAATATTTGCTATTCAATCTATCCTTCACACAATAAATTACTAAATTGAAATCCATATATAGAAGCAATTTATGTGCACCTTAATATAGTGTTAAATAGTAAACTTTGAGTTATTTATGCGACAAAGTTGCCTATAGATCTCAGTTTCCGAGGTCTCCTTTTAACTTCACACCAAAATTTATAAATCTATTCAGTAATTTAGGCGTGAAAGCATAGTTAAGTTAAAGAGTGGTAGAGCGCCGTTTAAGGAGGTAGCCTTCTTAAAGAAGACCACAATGAAATAATCACAAAAGAAATAAGTGGCTAGTTTCTTGCAAAAAATGTAAATTAAAGGCGCCAAACGTCCGTAAATAGAGGTTTTCGGTGCGTAAAAAAATGTATGCTCCGGACGGAATCTAGTGTTTTTTTTTTACTGATATACGCAGGGGCGTCTTTCCCATTCCCGCGCGGGATTTTTTAGCGTATATTATGCCGTAAAGCGCCCGTAAGAGTTACGGGGTCCTCAGTGGGTAGCCACTGCTGGGGCTGGTAAGGCTTGCAGGAGCCAGGTGTCAGGTCCGTTCGACGGTGTGCCTCTTAAAGGCGCCGTCGTCTGTAAACAGTATTTTTTGCCTGCATATAAAAAAAGGGGCGTCTTTCTCATTGGAGCGCGGGGTATGGCCAGACCCGGGCGCCGGGCCCTAGGGGGCGCCAGCCGGGCGGGCTATCAACATCTGAATGAATCTGGTGGTAGATAGTACTTACCCAATTACAAGTTTATAAATATTATTTTAAATAAATGTTTTAAAACAAACTTCAAACTTACGATTTAAGTAGGTACATGCAGGTGTCAATTCTGACATGATTCTCTAAACCTAAACTTAAATTTGACAACAGTGTATCCTTGTCATTCTCTATACAGAATGAAAAGGAGAGACTGATGTTAAATTTAGATTTAAGTTTAGAGGAACATGCCAGAATCGACACCACGTGTATGTACCTGTATGTACTTAAATCGTAAATTTTAATTTTGTTTACGTTTTTTTAGTCATATAGATCAAACTATAAATACATACATACGTATGCTTGCTTATTTATGTGATTGATTTATTCTATATTTTTGTAGCATTTTCTACAATGAAAAAATGATTTGTCATTTTTTTTTTGAAAACGAGGGCGTATTGTTGGCTTTCGCACCCGGGCGCCGCATATGGTTAGGACGCCCCTGGATATAGGTACGCAAGGGCGTATTTTAAAATCCGGCACCCCGGCATCTGCCCACCGATAGGTGGTGTTATTTGGCTGTCGTTTTCTGTAAGGCGGTGGTTACTTCAACAGGCGGGAGCTATAATTCGAGCGGAAAATCCTCTGTTCTCCTCCTCCTCTGGAAAATCCTACCGCTCTTCACCCTTAACACGCGCATTTTTATTGCTTTTTGCACTGTTCCAGTAAAAAATGATAATTAATTGAATTGTTTTTTTTTTTATATTTTTAAGGTTGTAACTGCTTGATGTTTTAGTCTAAAGAAAATATAACTAGAAAAATTCCACGCAAGTATTAAAAATCAGTAGGTTAATTAATGTACCCACTGCTGTGTCACAGACCTTCCATATGGATGGAATAGGGAGATTAAGCCATGACCCACCACGTGGGCCCAGTGCGGATTAGCCAGCGCTAACGACTGCAGATGTATGCAGACTGCATGGACCGTTAACGCGCCTTCCGAAGGACGGAGGAGTGATGATATGAAATTTTTGGTCACCCATCCAATGACCGACCACTACGAAACATGCTTCAACGATCGTAGCCGAATGCGCTAACTAATTTTCACCCGCACCCTTCGCTATCCGGGCGAATGCACAGACCAATTTTGCTACCGCGGCCCTGACGGCCGCGTCGAAATTCTTCTAGCCATTTTTAAGCTGCAAGGCAGCGCCATTTCTTCGCATTGTAGGTAACCCACAAGGGTGCGAGTTCGAGTCCCGTCTGCTGCCTGGTCCACTTGGAATTTTTCTAGTCATATTTTCTTTAGATTGTTTTTTTAATGGCCTTTCAAATGACACAATATTGATGGGGGTAAATGCGTCTGGTAAGGGCTATAATAACGCTTGAAAGCTATTTGCGTGCGATTTCTTTGACGCCGAGTGTTTTTGAGTAAAATTTTCTTTAGATTTAAACGTCTAGCAGTTAATAGGGGTGATGACGGGGTACAGTAAACGAAATTCTATTTAGTCCGTCATTTAGATGATCAAAAAATAATGGACACGTATTTTTTCTTTGGGCAATCAACCAAAAAATGACAAAGTTATAGCGCGTCAAAGTTTGGGAGTAGGGGCTCGTGACGTCACTTTTGAGTGAATTTTCACTTATAAGTGTACTCAAACGTGACGTCATGCGAATATTCAAATCAATATATCTCTGCAATGTTTATATTATGTGAAAAAAGAAAAAATACGTGTCCAATACTTTTTGATAATCTACCTGCTAAACGAAGAAAAAAAAATAGTCATCATCCCTATTGATTTAAAAAAATACAGCATCTTGCTATTATTTTAACAGCCTTCAAAAAAAGGATATTCTCAGTTTGACCTGTACGTCTGTATTTATGTTTCTATCTTAAGTTTGAATGTATGTTTGTCCACGATTATCTTAAAAACAAACTGGTCCGATTTGTAATGGTCTTCGATATACGTAAAGAGGAGCTCGATGGCGTAAGTGGTTAGCGCGTTCGGCTGCGATCGTTGAAGTTAAGCCACTTTCGCAGTGGCCGGTCATTGGATGGGTGACCAAAAATTTACTATCTCGAGCTCCTCCGTGCTTCGGAAGGCACGTTAAGCCGTTGGTCCCGGCTGCATCTGCCGTCGTTAGCACCCACCAATCCGCACTGGGCCCGCGTGGTGGGTCATGGCCCAAACTCCCTATTTTATCCATAGGGAAGGCCTGTGGCCCAGCAGTGGGGACATTAATAGGCTGATAATGATGATGATACGTAAATAAATATGTACGTATTTTATAATTTCCAGTTAATTCCAACACAACAATGTCTAACCCACGGAAGATCATACATTTGCCGCGGGTTAGGATGCTACGTCCTTCAACAGCGGGCAGAGCGAGCGGTCTCCGCATCACAAATGTGAAGACCATCAAGCCTGCAGACCCTGAGGCTGTCAAGAAGCAGGAGGAGCAAAGGCTTAGAGCAGAGGTGGTAAAACTGTACTATTATGTGGAATCTGAGAGATTGGTAAAACTGTACTGTTGTGTGGAATCTGCGAGATTGGTAAAACTGTACTGTTATGTAGAATCTGCGAGATTGGTAATACTGTACTGTTATGTAGAATCTGCGAGATTGGTAAAACTGTACTGTTATGTAGAATCTGCGAGATTGGTAAAACTGTACTGTTATTTGGAATCTGCGAGATTGGTTAAACTGTACTGTTATGTAGAATCTGCGAGATTGGTAAAACTGTACTGTTATGTAGAATCTGCGAGATTGGTAAAACTGTACTGTTATGTAGAATCTGCGAGATTGGTAAAACTGTACTGTTATTTGGAATCTGCGAGATTGGTTAAACTGTACTGTTATGTAGAATCTGCGAGATTGGTAATACTGTACTGTTGTGTGGAATCTGCGAGATTGGTAAAATTGTACTGTTATGCGGATCAGGCAGCAGACTGGACTCGAACCCGCACCCTTCGCTATCCGGGCGAATGCACTGACCAATTTCGCTACCGCGGCCCTGACGGCCACGTCGAAATTCTTCTAGCCATTCTTAAGCTGCAAGGCAGCGCCATCTCTTCGCATTGTAGGTAACCCACGATGTCAAATGAATACTTTTACAAAAGTATTAAACATTTGAAAGAAGAAATAGAAATTATAGATATAATTTATATTTTTTTAAACATGTAACTGCTTGATGTTTTGATGGTTCGAGTCCCGTCTGCTGCCTGGTCCGCGTGGAATTTTTTCTATTTATATTTTCTTTAGATTATAACTAGACTTGCAACGAATATTCGGTATTCGGCCTATTCGGCTGCTTTTATTATATTCGGCCGAATACCAAATATCTACATATTATTCAGCCGAATACCGAATACTTAAATAAAATATTTTGTCATAGAGAAATAATTGGTAAAATGAAAAATTAAAATCGTTGGATTACATCGAGCCCTTACCGCCAAATTATCGTAAGCGACACTCGCCAAATTATCGTAAGCGACACTTTTGTCGAAATGCGTTTTTTGTGGAAACTAATATTTTAAACCGTAACGGACCCATCTCTGTTGATATTTCCCTCCAAAAGAACACCGTAATAATATAATCATCATCATCATCATCATCATCATCGACCCATGCTCGTCCACTGCTGGACATAGGTCTCTCCTAATGCACGCCACTGCTCCCGATTTTCTGCCACTCTCATCCAGCCCACTCCAGCCAGCCTACGAATGTCATCATCCCATCTTGTCTCAGGGCGTCCCACACTACGTCTACCGAGTCGCGGTCTCCACTCAAGAACTTTACGGCTCCATCGGCCGTCAGTTCTGCGGCTAATGTGACCAGCCCACTGCCACTTCAGTTTGCTAATTCGGTGGGCTATGTCGGTGACTCTGGTTCTCTGTCGGATTACATCATTTCTGATGCGGTCCTTCAGGGATACTCCGAGCATAGCCCTTTCCATAGCTCTCTGAGCGACTTTAAACTGGTGGACCAGTCCAGCCGTGAGTGTCCACGTCTCGGCGCCGTATGTCATAACTGGGAGGACGCACTGGTCGAAGACTTTCGACTTAAGACATTGAGGGATGGGTGACGAGAAGACTTGACGAAGCTTATGAAATGCTGCCCAGCCCAACTGAATTCTTCTATTGGCTTCTCTCTCAAAGTTGTTTCTGCCTAATCGGAGCTTTTGTCCTAGGTAGACATATTCCTGAACAACTTCGAGAGGTACTCCATTAACAGCAACCAGTCCCGGATCAACGAGCTCGTTGAACATGACCTTGGTTTTATCCAAGTTCATCCGGAGACCGATGCGTTTGGAAGATTCAGCCAGGCTACTCACCATCTCCTGTAGGTCTTGCAGGGTTTCAGCCAGGATGACGATATCGTCCGCGAATCGAAGGTGTGAGATGTATTCGCCATTAATATTTATTCCGCGCCTTTTCCAGTTGAGCGTTCCGAACACGTCCCGCAGCGCAGCGGAGAAGAGTTTCGGGGATATTACATCTCCTTGTCTCACACCACGGCGCAGCAGGACAGGCTCGGTCTGGCCATTCTGGAGCACGACGGACATATTAGCGGCGTTATACAGACATCTCAGCACCTCGATATATCGCCAATCAACTTGGCACCTCTGCAACGCCTCAAGAACAGACCAGGTCTCGACGGAGTCAAAAGCTTTCTCATAGTCCACAAACGCCATGCACAGGGGCTGGTTATACTCTTTGGTCTTCTGTATAACCTGTCTCACTGTGTGAATGTGGTCTATGGTGCCATAACCCCGTCGGAACCCGGCCTGTTCTGCAGGTTGAGCTTCGTCAAGTCTTCGTGTTAGGCGATTCGAGATGACTCTCGAGAACAACTTATAGACATGGCTCAGGAGTGAAATTGGTCGATAGTTCTTCAGTAAGGTTTTATCGCCTTTCTTGAAGAACAATACGACCAAGCTCCGGTGCCACGCCCTAGGAGTTCTCCCGGAGAAAAGGACCGAGTTAAATATACGCCGGAGCTCCTTCAGCACCGGCTTGCCGGCAGCTTTCAGAAGCTCGGTTGTGACTCCATCTTCCCCCGGGGCTTTTCCATTTTTGAGTTGCCCAAGAGCCGCCTCGATCTCTTCGAGGCTGATGTCAGGGAGATCCTCCGTCACATGGCGGGTTAATGTGGCTCTTGAATCGCTCCTATCCGGCGTAGGGTGGGGCGAGTGTGACGCGTATAACTGGCTATAGTAGGTATAAACTTCCGAGAGAATCTCCGGTTTCGACGTGACGACTTCTCCATTTGTTTTGGTCAACTTCGTCAGGTGGCTCCTTCCAAGCTGTTGTACGAAGACTTTGGACCCCCGGTTCTGCTCAATTGTTCTCTGTATTAAGAGTGTATTGGAGCGTCGGAGGTCACGTCTTATCAGCTTGGAGATGGACTTATTCAGAGCCCGTTGTTCTGACGAAGTGACTAGTGGATCGTTTCGCCGCTTATCCATTAGATCCAGTCTCCTTCGAAAGCTTAGACCGCTTGCTCTGTACTCCCACTTTAGCGTTGAAGTCCCCCATGACAACGTTAAAGTGAGCCTTGGTGGTGGTGTGTAAGGCTCGAGAGATGTCCTCGTACATCTCTTCCACTACATCATCCGAGTACGTCGACGTTGGAGCGTACACTTGTATAACCTTTAGGCTATACCTTCTGGTTAATTTTATAATGAGGTACGCAACCCTCGCCGACACACTGGAGACTTCAATCACGTTGTCAGTGAGGACTTTGTCGACCAGGAACCCGACGCCGCCCTGTGACGGATTATCTCCCTCTCTGAAGTACATCAGATGGCCAGACTCTAAGGTCAGCGTGTCCTCGCCCTCTCTGCGGACTTCGCTCAGCCCGAGCACGTGCCATCTTATGTGCCTCAGCTCCTCCTCCAGTTGAGCTAGATGTGAGTCGAGCCGTAGCGTGCGACCGTTATATGTCGCCAAGTTAAGTGTTTTTTGGCGGCCTACCGTAGCCCGGAGATTCTTAGCACCCCCTGCCCTGCCGTAACCGAGACCGCCGCCTTGGCCTGGAATAGCAGGGCTACCGGGAACTGGGGGCCGGAACAATTTTGCGTTTTCCATTTAGGAGGGATAGGACCATAACCCACCACGCTGGTCCAGTGCGGGTTGGTGGGTGGTTTCGCCAGGGCCTCGTCTGTTATACAGCAGGACGCACCGCTTGCAGGGGAGGTTGGCTTGGGACCCGAAAGATGTTGTGTAGGCCCCCTTGCGTCCCAATAATATAATAGAGGGAAGAATAGAGGGAAATATCAAAAGAGATGGGTCCGTTACGGTTTAAAATATTAGTTTCCACAAAAAACGCATTTCGACAAAAGTGTCGCTTACGATAATTTGGCGAGTGTCGCTTACGATAATTTGGCGGTAAGGGCTCGACATATATATTCATATTTTCATTTCTGTTATATAATCATTTAAGTAGTCATTGGTACAGAAAACAGACACATAATTTAATCATTTTCTGTATTAAACAAGTTAACACTTTTTAATTTATTCAGTCATGTGATGAATGGTTACATAATAGCAATAATTTAAAGTTTACGCGCCGTTTTTGGCCATATCTCAAAAGTTGGTTTTGTCATTTAGCCGCATTTTAGCTTGAGTACGGCAGATTAGAATAAAAAATGGGTGCGTGTACTTATGTAGGCGCGTGAGAAGTTATCCTTCTTTGGCATCGTTTAAAATTAGTTTTTAATTGCATGCAAATAATTAATTACAATAAATTAATAAAAAGTCTGGAAAAGGACACAGTCAATAAAGTTCAGTTTTAATTTGAAAAAATAAATAAATAATCAAAATATTCAATTAAAATCGCTACTGAATATAATTTATTAGAACATATGTGATTTGCACTTGTATGAAACTCAAACACGTATTCCGAATATACAAACTAGAAACATGTGGATAAATATTATAAATATTAATACCTATAACTGTTACTTTATTACAAAAAATAAAGATGTGGTTTTTGGTTCTACTACACCAATGGTCAAGAGATGGCGCTGTAGTCTCCTGAATCGCGCTTTGGTTCCGTTGTTCCAGATTAATAAATACTTTTGATAGGCCTTCACAATGCAGTCGTTAGCACCCACTAAATAGAGATTCTATTTCTATTTTGTTGGTAGATTTTCTTAATGTGCAGTAAACACAAAAGTAACAGCATGAAGTTGGTCGTTGAAGCGACCAACTTCATGCTGTTAAAATTTTGTGTTACAGTGATGCGCGCGCATCTTAAAATTTCTCTCTCATCAATTTTTCATAACGCGCCTAAAGAAGTATAACTTCAACAAAACAAAACAACGCGAAACAATCTCGTCTGTACAAGTTTTTGGCGCTAAAATCCAGCCGAATACTTTTGCCTAATATTCGGCTATTCGGTCAGGGGCCTCGCCGAATATTCGGTATACTGCCGAATATACTATTCGTTGCAAGTCTAATTATAACTTAATTATTTCTCACTTTCAGCTGGAGAAAGAGATAGTATCGCGGTCTCGCTCATGCGGGAACAAAACATATGATTGCACTTTACCAGTACTCTCCGGGAGGCAGTACTGTGTCAAACATATATTGCAAGACCCTACGGCGCCATACAAACAATGCTCTCATATATACAGCAACAGTGAGAGATGCCAACAACCGACGCCTATTGACCAGAGAGAACATAGAGACCAAGGGTGAGTTTTGTCTTTTAAACCGACTTCAAAAAAGGAGGTGGTCCTGGAAGGAAGGTGTCACTCAAAAATTACAATAATGTATCTTATATCTATATATATTAGGGATGTCGAAAGTTGAAAAAAATATCGATATATCGATACATCGGTCTTTTAAAAAATATCAATATCGGCTTCGATATATCGCGAAAAAAACATCGATATATCGGACCAATTTTCCCAAAAATATCGTACTAAATATCGTAATAGCTCACGAAATATGACACGCGGAATAATAATGGAACGAAAATTATCTCCCTAAAAATAGACCCTATTTTCGAATGATGACATAGACAATACTAAATACAGCACAGATCATAGACATGTTGAATATCATTAATCTGAGATCCAGTTACGATTTTTCCCGATTCGAATTTAGTTAGATCGTGATATGCCGCTAATAATTAAAAAAATATCGTTTTTGATACAAATTTCGATATTGGTTATTTTGTATCGATGTATCGAATCAAAATATATCGGCAAAAAATATCGATATATCAGACAAAAAATATCGATATATCAGACAAAAAATATCGATATATCGATACATCGATATATTTTCAACAAGCCTAATATATAAATATATATATTAGGCTTATATAAAACTCAAAGGTGACTGACTGACATAGTGACATATATCTATCAACGCACAGCCCAAACCACTGGACGGATCGGGCTGAAAGGAGATTGCTCAAATTGGCCTAAATGCACAAAAAATATTGACATACACGGTAATTCTTGGCGTAATTTATAATTTGATTTACAGTCATTAGATTTCAACGGACACCTTTGTATAATATATTTACTTTAAAAAGGACTTTTAATTTTACCGGTTTGGAAAACATACGAATCATTTTTAATGGCTATGGGTGTAGTAACATTCAGCCAAAGACTGATCGAAGTTGTTTATATAACATAAAAACAAATCTATCTTGTAAAGATCGATAAAATAAATCATTTTTTTATTACACTATGATACATATTAATATCCACAACTATATTATCATTTTCACTAGATGCAAATGTGCTCAGACAATTATTATAGACTAGTGGCCCGCCCTCGCTTCGCTTCGGTGTAGAGCTGTAGTGTAAACTATAGTTTTTGTTCTCAGGCTTGTGCTATAAAGAATGACTTTATTTATATAATTACACGTGTTATTGTGAGTCAACCATAAAAGATAGACATATTATTATGCTGTTGCGGGATATTTTTTAGACAATTTTATGTAGAATATTTCCGTCATACATGATTTCTATGTAACTTTAACCATTAAGGCTGCACCCGCGACGGAAGCTTAAAAAATGGAGTAACTTCTCCCGTTTTCCCAACATTTCCCGTCACTACTCTGCTGCTATTCATTGTAGCGTGATGAAAAGTATACTATAACCTGCCCAGGAGTATGAAGAATAATTTTACCAAGTTTCGTTAAAATCCGTTGAGTAGTTTTTGTTTCTATAAGGAACATACACACAGACAGACAGACAGACAAAAATTTTACTGATAGCATTTTTGGCATCAGTATCGATCACTAATCACCCCCTGATAGTTATTTTAAAAATATATTTCATGTACAGAATTGACCTCTCTACAGATTTATTATAAGTATAGATGGTAGGCGACATCATAAAGTCTATTGCCATACATTTTTCGCCAAACACCTCCATAAACACATTATAATCTGTATATGTTAGACTTTAATATGGAACTTTTTATATTATGTACCAGCTGTAACAAACTATGTTTCATGCAAATAAACTTTCATTTCATTCATTCATTCATTAAGGTATCTGTTTATGGGCCTACGTTCCCTGAATATAAATTAATAAATAAATAAAATTATAAGGTGTGATACACTAAAAATCTAAAATATGATTATCTTAAAAACATAACAAAAGTAATGAAGCTACTGAATATATGGCTATAGAACCTAAATGTCTTAGCTTTCTTTGGTTAACGAGAGTTTAAAAATTCTCTCTAATCTGTGGCTCATTCACAATCTTCACACAGTTTCTGTCACAGAGTACCTACCTTATTATAACCGGAAATGACGCCTGATTTTAAGAGTTACTCTTGTGCATTAACTTTAAAAACAGGCAACTATATGTTAATCTACATGTTCTATATACCCGAATCTAATCCATAATTTCGGTACTTGGCTTGATTTCCCTAGTTTATTATATAACTTATTTATTTTTTATTATTTTAATATGTTCAGTATATATGGTTTATAGAAGTTCTGAGGGGCGTCCGTCAATAATATTCGTTTCTACAGTAATTTATATATAATTTCGAATCTAGGAAACAATTTTTCATGATTATTGGTCTTTAGGCCAAACATGTATGGAAGCTGAGCAATCTCCTTTGCCATGCAGGTAGATGTTATGACGTAGGCATCCGCTAAGAAAGGATTTTGATCAATTCTATCCCCAAGAAGATAAAATAGGGAATGAAAGTTTGTATGAAACTTTGTCAATTTTAAACCGATCGGGCTGAGACTTTGCATGCAGGTATAAGAAGAATCATAGATGAATGTCATTGTGTATAATACAAGCCTGAGAACAAAAACTGTAGTCTACACTTCAGCTCTACACCGAAGTGTCATATAAAGTCAAATGTTGTCCATCTATTGACTAGAGAGAGAGGGATAAGGGGTGGATTTTGTTTAAAATGTTGATTTTAACCGATTTTATAAAGGAGGCAATTGTTATAGACAAAAGATCATGAATTATCCCTCCTACCAACGAAGACTGCGTTATGGATAGACCAATCAATGATATTAAATACCCTAGGTATATACATCACGATTAAAATCTTGGTCTGGTTATGTATTTTTAAATATATTCAAGGCCAGAGTAAACAAGCATCTTCTAGGCAGGCGTGTACCATTCTAGGCCTTATCATCGCTTTCCACTGTGGTCAAACGCAATGCCTATATAATATGCACAATAACATCAACATCATCGTCAGCCTATTAATGTCCTCACTGCTGGGGCACAGGCCTTCCCTATGAATGGAATAGGGAGATTAGGCCATGACCTACCACCCGGGCCTAGTGCGGATTTTCGGGTGCTAACGACCGCAGATGCAGCCGGGACCAACGGCTTAACGTGCCTTCCGAAGACACACGTAAATTTTTGGTCACCCATCCAATGACCGACCACTGCGAAAGTTGCTTAACTTCAACGATCGCAGCCGAACGCGCTAACGAGCTCCTCACATTAATATATATTATATATATATATATATGTTCCAGACTATGTTTCGAGCACGCCAGTATATCTCTGCACGCGCGGCACAGAAACGCGGCCCCGCCGCCACCTGTCACTACCACAGAAACGTTGCTCAATCAACTGCAACATTATGTCAGGTGAGAGATATATATATATATATATATATGACGACCTCCGTGGTCGAGTGGTTTGTACGCCGGGTTTCATGGTGTCGCCGACTCGGGAGGTCCCGGGTTCGAATCCCGGTGGGGGCAGATGTTTGTGTGATGAATACGAGCATTTGTACTCCAGTCATGGATGTTTAATATGTATTTCTATATAAATATACTTATATATGTATTGTATATGTATTCTATCCGTTACCCTAGTATCCCATAACACAAGCCTTACAGTGCTTACTTTGGGGCTAGGCTAATTGGTGTGAGTGTTGGAAATATTTATTTATTATTATATATATGTCACTATATATTAATCATCAGCCTATTAATGTCACACTGCTGGGGCACCACCTGTTACTACCACGGAAACTTTGCTCAATCAACTGCAACACTATGTCAGGTGAGATATATAATATACATATATAAATATGTCACTATACATTAAGCATCATCATAATCATCAGCCTATTAATGTCCCACTGCTGGGGCACCACCTGTTACTACCACGGAAACTTTGCTCAATCAACTGCAACACTATGTCAGGTGAGATATATAATATACATATATAAATATGTCACTATACATTAAGCATCATCATAATCATCAGCCTATTAATGTCCCACTGCTGGGGCACCACCTGTTACTACCACGGAAACTTTGCTCAATCAACTGCAACACTATGTCAGGTGAGATATATAATATACATATATAAATATGTCACTATACATTAAGCATCATCATAATCATCAGCCTATTAATGTCCCACTGCTGGGGCACCGCCTGTTACTACCAAGGAAACTCTGCTCAATCTGTTACAAAAATACAAATGAAGCTTGAAGGGCGTTGAAGTACATCATATAAGGAGTCTTGTCTAATTTTCTTAAAATATTTGCATGAAGTTTTAACTTTTTATAAAAACAGTTATTTTTAATGATCCTCGCATTAGTGACGTGTCTTAAAATGAACGATATTTTTGTTAATCATTAAAAATAACTGTTATCTTTATATATATAATTCTTCTGTGAGTGTGTATGTCACTGAACTTCTCTTAAATGACTGGACCGATTTTGATGAAATTTTTTGTGTGTGTTCAAGGGGATCTGAGAATGGTTTAGATTCACAAAGACGTGTAGACAGGACAACGTCTGTCGGGTCCGCTAGTATATATATATATATATATATATACTAGCTGACCCAGCGAACTTCGTACCGCCCTAAAAAAATAGGGGTTGTCCAGCGGACAAAATTGTGAATCTAAACCATTCTCATATCCCCTTGAACACACACAAAAAATTTCATCAAAATCGGTCCAGTCGTTTAAGAGAAGTTCAGTGACATACACACTCACAGAAGAATTATATATATAAAGATATATATATGATAAACACAATATTAGTGTTGCTAATTATTAATTAAATAAAATATAATAAAGATATGTTTTTTTTTTCAGGCCAGAAAGAGCTCGCACTACATCTTGCGCGTCTTCAGTGTCTGTGGTCAGCGATCACAACGATATTGACAACGTGGCCGCCACGCCATTGGATCCTTTCAGTAAATACAGTATTATATTTATTATAATTACTTACTTAGGCGCTGGTTCATATCCGGCTCGAAGGACCAAAGTGCTTTGTACATTCTAATAGCGGAAAAGTATCAAACAAACATCAAATCATACCGACGGCCTCCGTGGTCGAGAGGTCCCGGGTTCTAATCCCGGTGGGGGCACATGTTTGTGTGATAAATACTAGCCTTTGTACTCCAGTCATGGATGTTAAATATGTATTTCTATATAAATATACTTATATATGTTCAGTATATGTATTCTATCCGTTACCCTAGTATCCCATAACACAAGCCTTATAGTGGTTACTTTGGGGCTAGGCTAATTGGTGTGAGTGTTGGAAATATTTATTTATTATATTTTATACGCCAAATAGTAGCGCGTAAGCGCCATTTGTTCAAAAAACACCAAAATGTATATTGCATCACCGTTGTGAACAATGAAGATCTTCAAAAAATGAGTAGTTGCTTAAACGCCAAAAAAGTACTCAAATAAACATAAACAGATCGACGCGAGGAGCTCGATGGCGCAATTGGTTAGCGCGTTCGGCTGCGATCGTTGAAGTTAAGCAACTTTCGCAGTGGTCGGTCATTGGATGGGTGACCAAAAATTACTATCTCTCGCTCCTCCGTGCTTCGGAAGGCACGTTAAGCCTTTAGTCCCGGCTGCATCTGCAGTCGTTAGCACCCACCAATCCGCACTGGGCCCGCGTGGTGGGTCATGGCCCAATCTCCGTATTCCATCCATAGGGAAGGCCTGTGCCCCAGCAGTGGGGGCATTAATAGGCTGATGATGATGATGATTTACTCATTAGTCGCTGGTTCATATCCGGCTCGAAGGACCAAAGTACTTTAGTCATTCTAATAGCTGAATAGTATCTAACAAACATTAAAAATCAAACATCAAATCATACGTCAAATAGTAGCGCGTAAGCGCCATTTGTTCAAAAACAACGATAATCTTTGTCGCTTCAGCGTTATGAACAATGAAGATCTTCAAAAAATTTTGTTGCTTAAGCGCCATAAAAGTATGTACTCAAATAAACATAAACAGATCGACGCGAGGAGCTCGATGGCGCAATTGGTTAGCGCGTTCGGCTGCGATCGTTGAAGTTAAGCAACTTTCGCAGTGGTCGGTCATTGGATGGGTGACCAAAGAATACTATCTAGTGCTTCGCAAGGCACGTTAAGCCGTTGGTCCCGGCTGCATCTACAAGTCGTTAGTACCCACCAATCCGCACTAGGCCCGCGTGGTTTGTCATGGCCCAATCTATCATCCATGGGGAAGGCCTGTGCCCCAGCAGTGGGGACATTAATAGGCTGATGATATATATATATATATACTAGCGGACCCGACAGACGTTGTCCTGTCTAGTATGGTAGCGCCGTCTGTCGGATCCAATGTAAAACATTCCAAAATCAACAACTACTAATAAATTAAAAAATAATTAAAAAAACATTGTCCAGCGGACAAAATTGTGAATCTAAACCATTCTCAGATCCCCTTGAACACACACAAAAAATTTCATCAAAATCGGTCCAGTCGTTTAAGAGAAGTTCAGTGACATACACACTCACAGAAGAATTATATATATAAAGATCTCATTTTCGACTGCTTGGCTGCCCCATTCCCCTATGCCTTATGCACCGCCTAATGTTAGTATATTTAAGAAAACAAGTTTACCTTCAGATAAAATGCTCCGTGCACTCAATATTGTTTTACTAAACTAAAACTGATATACTCTGATGACTCTTTTCTACGATTCAGGACTAAAGTTTCAGAGTTATTAAGAGATGCGTAGGCATTCATAGTTGGCATTTATTTTTATTTTTGTCGTTAAATTTGTTATATCGAGTAATTATATATATTCGTTTTCTATTATCTATAGTTTCAAAGCCACTAATAGTTCATAAACTTCATTGTTTACATGTGGTTTCGGTTTGTGTTTCTGTTTGTTTATTTAATTAAAATTCATCCGTTCGTACTGTCTCTTAAGCATGATGTGGCTACCTTCAATAGAATTTTGCATTTTGTATGTATCACTATAATGTTTAAAAATAAGATTTAATGTAACTTTCCCTGGTGGTCCTAATAAATAAATAAATAAATACTCTGTTCACTAGAACAAATAGACGCGACTTCAATAAACGCACAATACTCCGCGTCCATAATGCAATGTGCGAGCGGGACGGATAGCGATGCTGACAGCGTTACTCTGGGCCCGGATGGGACCAGTCGAGGGCCCGGGACCATAGGAGGGGCCATTGATGGGCCCGCTGAAGGCCCTGAAGACGTGGACTGCGAACAAACGCCGTTGTGGTGAGTTGAAAAATCAGCTTTTTAGTAATCATCTCTTATCTATTAGACAAGTCCGTCCGTCTGTCTGTGGTGCTGTTTCAGCGGCCGAACCGTAAGAGATAGATAAAGAGAATGTTTAAGTTATAAGTTAAGAATAGTCTGATAAGACTACAAACCGGATTTGAGTAACGTAGCACTTCCGGTTTTCGAGAAATCACGTGATTTCTATTTCAAACGAAACCGCACAAAATCTCCGAAGTTATAATTTTTATTATTTTTAAAGCATGTAACTGCTTGATGTTTAAATCTAAAGAAAATATAAATAGAAAAAATTCCACGCGGACCAGGCAGCAGACGGATATAAATATAAATATATAACTATAATTGCTATTTCTTCTTTCAAATGTTTAATACTTGTAAAAGTATTCATTTGACATTGTGGGTTTACCTATAATGCGAAGAGATGGCGCTGCCTTGCAGCTTAAGAATAGCTAGAAAGAATTTCGACGCGGTCCGTGAGGGCCGCGGTAGCATAATTGGTCAGTGCATTCGCCCGGATTGCGAAGGGTGCGGGTTCGAGTCCCGTCTGCTGCCTGATCCGCGTGGAATTATCTCCGAAGTTTTCAATTAATTAAATACATTTTTTTTTTAAATCAGGTTTTGGTGAACATTTGGTTCACTGGTTTGCTAGTTTTTATTATTCTTTGTTTCCAGTTGCTATGGATCACAAGTTATCGAAAAAAGGACTATAATGCGATTCAAATAAGAATAGGAAAGCCAATGACCTCCATCTGTCAAATGTCGCTTGAAAAGTACGGTTTGCAAAAATGAACTTGGAACCCTTTTTTAGCACTCCACTAATTCTAGAATGAAAACCAAACAATTATAGACAGACAATAACAAATATATATAATTTGTATTAGGGGCCGTCCATATATTACGTCATTCTAAATTGGGGGGGGGGGGGTTGGTCTGCGGATGACGGTAAATGATAGATAGGGGGGGGGGGGGTGTATCGAAATTGACGTCATTCTTATTTTTGAAGTTATACTTCTTTAGGCGCGTTATGAAAAAATGATGAGAGTGAAATTTTAAGATGCGCGCGCATCACTGTAACACAAAAAATTAACAGCATGAAGTTGGTCGCTTTAGCTTCATGCTGTTACTTTTGTGTTTACCGCACATTAAGAAAACCTACCAACAAAATAGAGTCTCTATTTAGTGGGTGCTAACGACTGCATTGTGAAGTCCTATCAAAAGTATTTATTAATCTGGAACAACGGAACCGAAGCGCGATTCAGGAGACTACAGCGCCATCTCTTGACCATTGGTGTAGTAGAACCAAAAACCACATCTTTATTTTTTGTAATAAAGTAACAGTTATAGGTATTCATATTTATAATATCAAAAGTATTTATTAATCTGGAACAACGGAACCAAAGCGCGATTCAGGAGACTACAGCGCCATCTCTTGACCATTGGTGTAGTAGAACCAAAAACCACATCTTTATTTTTTGTAATAAAGTAACAGTTATAGGTATTCATATTTATAATATCAAAAGTATTTATTAATCTGGAACAACGGAACCAAAGCGCGATTCAGGAGACTACAGCGCCATCTCTTGACCATTGGTGTAGTAGAACCAAAAACCACATCTTTATTTTTTGTAATAAAGTAACAGTTATAGGTATTCATATTTATAATATCAAAAGTATTTATTAATCTGGAACAACGGAACCAAAGCGTGATTCAGGAGACTACAGCGCCATCTCTTGACCATTGGTGTAGTAGAACCAAAAACCACATCTTTATTTTTTGTAATAAAGTAACAGTTATAGGTATTCATACCTGGATAAACCACATGTTTCTAGTTTGTATATTCGGAATACGTGTTTGAGTTTCATACAAGTGCAAATCACATATGTTCTAATAAATTATATTCAGTAGCGATTTTAATTGAATATTTTGATTATTTATTTATTTTTTCAAATTAAAACTGAACTTTATTGACTGTGTCCTTTTCCAGACTTTTTATTAATTTATTGTAATTAATTATTTGCATGCAATTAAAAACTAATTTTAAACGATGCCAAAGAAGGATAACTTCTCACGCGCCTACATAAGTACACGCACACATTTTTATTTATTAAAAAGAATTTTCTTCCAGCACACCTAGTAAGTGAGACTGCAAATGTGAGAGGCGGCTGAGGCGCGTACAATACTAAAATAACTCATAATAAACATACATAATGCAACATAGATGTACACAAATACAGTAATAACTACAGATACAATACTCTAACAATAATATTACATATAATACTAGCTTTTCTCAAATCTGCAATGTTTTAATTTTGTCAAACTGGTAATGACGTCAATTTTGGGAGAAAGGGGGGGGGGGGTTATTAAGAAATGACGATAGGATGATTGTAGGGGGGGGGGGGGGTTAAAGCATGTAACTGCTTGATATTAAAATCTAAAGAAAATATAACTACCTATAATGCGATGATGTGGGTTACCTATAATGCGAAGAGATGGCGCTGCCTTGTAGTAGACGACGCGACGCGCATCTTTAAATCAAACCCTATAATATGTAATATTTATAACTAAGCTAAAGGACATTGGGCAAAAATGTATGGACGCTGCACCCACGTCCGCCACGGCTTAAACTATATTTGTTTGAAAGGTATTATTTTCAAGATCATCTGTGCCAAAGCGCATCAAATTCCATTCCGGGGGTCTTTAGTTATTTTAAGTTAAATGTGTACAAGTACTATAACGAACGCACATTAATGAAACAAGGGAATTAATTTAGTTAGTTAGTTCGACTCTACATAGGATGCTCAGGAATTATGGGAGTACTTCACAAGGTGCAAAGGTGCCCCCTTATGTTATTCTGTCGCGCTAGAGTAAATCCAAAAATCCCCGCTTGGGTTGGGTTTTTTTTAAACATTCTGTTCGTTATAGTAAATAGTGATCCGCAAAATATTGAAAGTATCGATACTTACTCCATATCAAGTATCGTATTAAAAGTATCGATACCGGTATAAGTATCGTATCAAAAGTATCGATACTACTTGGTATCGAGTACTTTTTAACGTATTGAATGAAACATGACAAATGATTAGTCAAAAGTGGTTTATTACAAATGAACAGAAAAAACAAGAGAAATAATTAAAACCCCCTGTCTGTTTCTGAACAATCTGATAAAAATAACAATTTATCAAGCTTTGAACCAGTAAGACGATTGCGAGCTTCGCTTATTGTTGCGCCAGCTTTAGAAAACAGGCGCTCTGAAGGCACTGATGTGCCTGGCACATTTCGTGACAATGCATAGAGCTTCGGGAATACTGACTTCATGTCTTCCCACTGCTGAAAAATGTCAGACTTTAAAGGGGAGGGGAAAAAAGAACTTGCGAAAGTATCAAGTACTTTTGAAAGTATCGATACCTACTAAGTATCGAAAGAAAATGTATCGAGTACTCAAATACTTGGTATCGAAACGAAAGTATCGATACTACTCAGTTATCGATACTTTTTGCGGATCACTAATAGTAAATTGTCTGCTATGTAAAACGGAGCGACCACAGATTACACAAACTTGTCCACGCTTCGGAGAACACATGATTCCAGTTCATCCATAGTAATTGACAAAACCGATAATCGTGTTCCAATATCCAAAGCGTGTTAGATAAAAATCAATTAAGTAGCAGGGACAATCACAACGAAGTAAGACGAGTCGACTATTTGCAACTGCAAGTCCTTTCATCATCCGTAAACCGTTTTTGAAATGTCTCGGTAAGAGCAAGCGCAGGATGGTCGGCAGGCTTTGTCGTATATCTGGTTGTATAGTACGATATGGCATATTATTACGATTACTAATAATATAAAATGAATTTATTCAGCTACTTAAATATGCCCATGTGTCATATCTATCGCGCCAAACATTTAAAAAACATTTAAAATTAATTTTACTAGAAATGCAAAGGTTAGGAATAACCACATGTGGTCGTATGGTAGCGGTTTCTACCACTTTCTAATAGGTGTGTCACAATTTGTGTGTGTTAAATTCTGATGGGTAAATATTAATTCAGAAATTCAATATTAATCTAAATACTAAAAAGTAATAACAACAGTAATAATTAATAATTTTTGGTGAATGATAATATTATATATAGTTATATTATAATAACTTATCAATAATAATTTAATAATCTTTTTAATTTAATAAAATATAATCTAATTTAATTCTCCTAATAATAAATTAATCACGTCACGTCGATGTCGTTTCACGTTACGCGCTTTCTAGGCAGAATTGAAAACCAGTGCTTTGCTCTTAGAGCAAAGGTATCGCTGAGTTTTTGCCTTTTTCTGTCGTTGCGGCACACAGTTACATACCTAGTAATTAATTGTTCTATTTTTTTACTTGAAATTGTGTGCTGTACTGATGGGAATAAATGATTTATTGAAGTTATACTTCTTTAGCAGCGTTATGAAAAACTTATGAGAGTGAAATTTTCATCACTGTAACACAAAATTTTAACATAATGAAGTTAGCCGCGGGCGCGTTATTTGTAATATTTTATTTTCCAAGTGACCGTGGGGCAGATTTGAACAAAGCAAACAGGGCAGATTTGAACGGGACATTGAAATGAAATTAAATGAAATGAAATGTAATGAAATGACATTTCATTAATTATTTGCAAGCAATTAAAAAATATTTTAATGATGCTAAAGAAGTATAACTTCTCACGCGCGTACATAAGTTACACGCATCCATTTTCTATCTATCTATCTATTGACTTTATTTGATATTTTTTACGGTGTCATAATAAAAAAGGCTAGTTTTTCATAGATCTATCGATTCATACTAATTACATTGTTGGCGGAGCTGGGTGCGTTTTGCCCATTGTCCTTTGTCATTCGATTTTCAAGCTACCTACTTTTTTCGACATCTGGGTTGGTAATTTCTTCGAGTTCATTTTTGGGAACTATTGCTATGTCGGATTGCACTTTGCGTGAATTCACTTCCCTTTTATCTTCAATGGTATGAGACAACACTTCTCTTACGAGAGCTCCACGCGTCCTGCTGCGATCGTTGAAGTTAAGCAACTTTCGCAGTGGTCGGTCATTGGATGGGTGACCAAAAATTTACTATATCGAGTTGCTCCGTGCTTCGGAAGGCACGTTAAGCCGTTGGTCCCGGCTGCATCTGCAGTCGTCAGCACCCATCAATCCGCACTGGGCCCGCGTGGTGGGTCATGGCCCAATCTCCCTATTTCATAGGTAAGGCCTGTGCCCCAGCAGTGGGGACATTAATAGGCTGATGATGATGATGATACAGTGGAGCCCCGGTAATCCGGCCCCTGGCTAATGCGGCACCCCCTATAATCCGACATCGTCTATTACATACAAGTATTCGCTAATTCACGATTGAACAAGTTACAACTTGTACGCACCATCACTATTTATTATTACTTTTATAATAAAACGTAATCTTTCTATTGTGTTGTTTAATTTACTAAATTTGACATACATAACAAAGTATGATTTGTAATCTTATCATTGGATCTGTAATTTGTCGGATTAGAAAGTACTCTTTTGTAAAAAAAAAATGGGTGCGTGTACTTATGTAGGCGCGTGAGAAGTTATCCTTCTTTGGCATCGTTTAAAATTAGTTTTTAATTGCATGCAAATAATTAATTACAATAAATTAATAAAAAGTCTGGAAAAGGACACAGTCAATAAAGTTCAGTTTTAATTTGAAAAAATAAATAAATAATCAAAATATTCAATTAAAATCGCTACTGAATATAATTTATTAGAACATATGTGATTTGCACTTGTATGAAACTCAAACACGTATTCCGAATATACAAACTAGAAACATGTGGATAAATATTATAAATATGAATACCTATAACTGTTACTTTATTACAAAAAATAAAGATGTGGTTTTTGGTTCTACTACACCAATGGTCAAGAGATGGCGCTGTAGTCTCCTGAATCGCGCTTCGGTTCCGTTGTTCCAGATTAATAAATACTTTTGATAGGCCTTCACAATGCAGTCGTTAGCACCCACTAAATAGAGATTCTATTTCTATTTTGTTGGTAGATTTTCTTAATGTGCGGTAAACACAAAAGTAACAGCATTAGCGACCAACTTCATGCTGTTAATTTTTTGTGTTACAGTGATGCGCGCGCATCTTAAAATTTCACTCTCATCATTTTTTCATAACGCGCCTAAAGAAGTATAACTTCAAAAATTCGTACTATAGGGGGTCTTAGGCAGTACTCTATAATCCGACAAATTCGATAGTTCGACACTGCTCTGCAAAATGTTTGTCGGACTACCGGGGATCCACTGTATTTTATTTTGTCCTCCCATAGGCGTGCAGGAGTATACACTGCCGAGGAAGCAGTATACTGCGGCTTGAACACTTTGAGGTCTCTACAGTCCCTGTATTTGAGACAAATGGGCCGATTGAGGACTCTCCTGCGGGCCCAAAGACGACACTATCTGCGCACGCTGCGGGCCCAGAAGGAGACATGCGGTAACATTATTTTGATACTAATAATAATAATAATAAGTCTAAAGAAAATATAACTAGAAAAAATTCCACGCGGACCAGGCAGCAGACGGGACTCGAACCCGCACCCTTCGCAATCCGGGCGAATGCACTGACCAATTATGCTACCGCAATATTGACATTGTGGGTTACCTATAATGCGAAGAGATGGCGCTGCCTTGCAGCTTAAGAATGGCTAGAAGAATTTCGACGCGGTCCGTGAGGGCCGCGGTAGCATAATTGGTCAGTGCATTCGCCCGGATTGCGAAGGGTGCGGGTTCGAGTCCCGTCTGCTGCCTGGTCCGCGTGGAATTTTTTCTAGTTATATTTTCTTTAGATTTAAACATCAAGCAGTTACATGCTTTAAAAATAATAAAATTTATAATAATAATAAGTGTTTATTTCAGGCACAGTAACCCATATTAAAAATTACAATAACAATTGCATTTTGTCCAATTTTGTCTTAAAATTAAATCATTGTATCACAATTCGTCAATTATTCAAATCAAATTAAATTCAGACAATAACAATAATATTAATAAAAATAAATGATATAATAAAAAACTATATGACATAGTTTTACATATTAGATTGAATGAAATAAATTAAATTAATTAATTAACATACATTATTAAAAATTTTCATTGCACTTTACGAACATTGGCGATATGTAGATGACAGACAGTGTGTGTGACATTAAATGTACTTTACCAAGTTGATATATGTTAATGTTGAGTTTAATACTATAATATAAAAATACTATACTTCGACATTTTATTAGCTGCAGTAAAATGACGTTTCAAAATGTCATTCCGTAAAATAATGTTAACCGTCTAATTATAATACGGATGTGATTAAGTTCACAGAAAATCTAATCGTTTCATAAATAACTCATAATGTTCATACTTAATTCTATTTATTATTCATATAAACAAAAGGCTGGCATTAGTGTGACCGAAAGCGAAAGCTATAGTGATTCCGAAAATGATTGAAAAGTAATAATATTGTTATTATATTTTTGTTTCATTTTGGATATACGTCCCTATACTTCCACTGAAAAAGATCAATCCTATACTATAGTAATAATAATAGAATAAAAAAACACATTACAACTTAATAATAAGTCTCTAAAACAAAACCAAACTGATCATTCATTTATTGAATGTTTCACTTACTCACTTAGCTACATCCCTATTTATTTTTCTTCAAAAAGCGGTAACCCACAAAACGTCATATTACTGCAGCTAATAAAAAGTTCCACTTTAAATACATTTATATATTTCACTAGCGGCCCGCCCTCGCTTCGCTTCGGTGTAGAGCTGAAGTGTAGACTACAGTTTTTGTTCTCAGGCTTGTATTATACACAATGACATTCATCTATGAAATGAAATGAAATGTCATTTATTCAGTCTAGGCTGTTACAAGCACTTGTGAAGGTCAAGAAGCTACGCCATCGGTTCGCAAAACTACGGCGGGAGACCTTGTACTGAGAAGAACCGGCAAGAAACGCAAGGGCTGTTTTTTTGTCCCTGTATTGTTATATACAGTGTCGTCAAGTTGAAAAATTACTTGAGAAATACGTCTGAAGTCACTTTCCATTACATCATCTAGAATATAAATATATAGTTACAATTAATTTTATAGTTCTATAGTATGATTCTTGTTATACCTCTATGCAAAGTCTCAGCCTGATCGGTTTAAAATTGACAAAGTTTCATACAAACTTTCATTCCCTATTTTATCCCCTTGGGGGTAGAATTGATCAAAATCCTTTCTCATCGGATGCCTACGTCATAGCATCTACCTGCATGCCAAATTTCAGCCTGATCCGTCCAGTGGTTTGGGCTGTGCGTTGATAGATCACTATGTCAGTCAGTCACCTTTGAGTTTTATATATATAGATAGATAGATATGCATGTAGTAAAAAGCGGTTTATTCAATATTACAAACAGATACTCCAATTTTATTTATATGTATAGATAAAAAAACTTATTATGTTCCCACAGCCAGCATCAGCAGCCAGTACAGATCGGGCGGAGTTTCTGCCCGGGAACGCAACCAGTTGCGGAAACTGAAAGCCTACGCTTCATACCACAAGAGGCATGGGGTCGAAGCCGTATTGGCCAGGAAACTGCACAGAAAGAGAGCTAGGGTGAGTGACACTAAATTGAATGCTGAATGTTAGCTAAATAAATGAAATTAAATTGTTACTTAGGTTTTCACGCACATCACTCATTAAATAAAACTAGTTTTTACGGGTTAATGCACGAAACTTTATTTATTAATGACGTTTCGTAGCCTTTACAGGCTCCGTCGTCAGAATAAAACTTTTATTTAATTTGTCGAGCTACCTTCGAAAGACTTTTATTGAGCGTTTGGTTTATAGCCTGTAAAGGCTACGAAACGTCAATAAATAAATAAAGTTTCGTGCAATAACCCGTAAAAACTAGTTTTATTAAATGAAATGACATTTATTTATTCACAAAAAACAGAGTAGATACATTTTGGTGGTGATTTTCATTTAGTTCGTCCATTTTGCCAGCGACAGGGCATGTGAATGTCAAACTTAGTTTAATTCTAAAATTTAAAGGTACTTATGTCATTTTACTTATTCTATTCTAGGTCAATTTTCGTTTCTAAATATTCTCTAACTGAGTAAGACATTTCATTATTAGCCACATTTTAAGCTTCCTTTTAAATATAGGCAAACTTGTGGGGTTCTCCCACAATCGTATCTATACATGTTATATACGTATTTAGAAATATTCAAAATATTATATAATATGTACTTACAATTTATAACTACAAATAAATATAAAACATTAATTATAAATACCAAATGTATTTACATTTATATAAAATAACATTTATTATTTACACATTATTTACATTTAATATATAACAATATTTATTAATTACATTCATATACTGTCATCACAAGCACAAACATTTATTCACAAAACAATTACACTATATCGTGCCGTGCATCAGCCGATCTATAACAGTCGTGTGGCGAATGGACACGCGCACTCACTTCGCCGCCTATTCACGGTCACGTGGCACGACAGTCGGAACCTATACTTGACACCGTACGCACGCTAAATTGCTCCGCGCTTGCTAGCCCCTAACCGTGTTATTATTGTTTTGTTTACGTTTGCTTTGACTGTGCTTTTCCTTTCTTCCTCTGTGCTTGTTTATCACTGACTGTGCTCTGTACTCCTTCTATTCTGTGCTCGTGCAAATAAACTGTTTACTGTTGAGTGCTGGACTTATTGTTTACGCCGCCTCCTGACTGCACCGCAGATAAGTACAAGCGAACTATTACCTACCTATCTTCACCCAAACACGCTTTAAACTAAGCTCCGTTATCAAGCGTGGTAACTTATTATACATTTTTATACAATTCGGATAGCAGTTTTTATTGTAATAATAAATAATAATAATAAATATTTCCAACACACACACCAATTAGCCTAGCCCCAAAGTAAGCACTATAAGGCTTGTGTTATGTGATACTAGGGTAACGGATAGAATACATATACTGTACATATATAAGTATATTTATATAGAAATACATATTAAACATCCATGACTGGAGTACAAATGCTCGTATTCATCACACAAACATCTGCCCCCACCGGGATTCGAACCCGGGACCTCTCGAGTCGGCGACACCATGAAACCCGGCGTACAAACCACTCGACCATGGAGGTCGTCGATAATATTGAGTAGGTACGTATGTTGGGAGGAACAAGAGTTCAATGACCCCAATCACATGTTCCAGTTCAATGACCCCAATCATTGAAATGTTTTAATTATCATGATTAGCAATATTTTTATTTTATTTTTTGTACGCAATGTATTACTAAAAAAGATTTTGCCACATTATTATTGTAAAATTTGATTGAGTAGTTTTTTAACGACCTCCGTGGGCGATTGGTATATACGCCGGGTTTCAAGATGTTTGCCGAATTGAGAGGTCCCCGGTTCGAATCCCGATGGGGGCAGACGTTTATTTGAACGAGCATTTGTACTCCAGTCCATGTTTAATATGTATTTTTATATAAATATACTTATATATGTACAGTATATGTATTCTATCCGTTACCCTAGTATCCCATAACACAAGCCTTACAGTGCTTACTTTGGGGCTAGGATAATTGGTGTGAGTGTTGGAAATATTTATTTACAATTTTATATTTTTTGTTGTAGCTGGGCGTTGAGAGTACCCGCTTGGGTCCGCACGGGCGTTGCTCGTTCTCTGAAGGCGGGGTCCGGTGTTCGACTCCCGTGCTGCCCGCTGCCAAGCATTGCTTGAAGCACATTCTGTTGGACAGACATCAGGTATTTATTCTTCATCTTTATATATATAATTCTTCTGTGAGTGTGTATGTCACTGAACTTCTCTTAAACGACTGGACCGATTTTGATGAAATTTTTTGTGTGTGTTCAAGGGGATCTGAGAATGGTTTAGATTCACAATTTTGTCCGCTGGACAATGTTTTTTTAATTAATTTTTTTTATGGCGGTACGAAGTTCGCTGGGTCAGCTAGTATATATATATAGAGGGCATCACACGGAGGAAAAGTTTATTAAATACTGAAGATAGGATATTTTACTGAAAGAAGACATTATTTTATTTTTAATAAAAAGTAGAAACGCATTCACATTTAAAAAAAAATCGCCTACCCCGTCCAGAAATCAAACTCGTGAAATGTGAAACAAAAAAAACATGTATTTTGTGATAACCGTTGAAATGAGGATTATTTTTTCCTGAATAACAATATTTCAAATGAATGAAAATTTAAAGAAAATATAACTAGAAAAAATTCCATGCGGACCAGGCAGCGGACGGAACTCGAACTCGCACCCTTCGCAATCCGGGCGAATGCACTGACCAATTATGCTACCGCGGCCCTGATGGCTGCGTCGAAATTCTTCTAGCCATTTTTAAGCTGCAAGGCAGCGCCATCTCTCCGCATTGTACGTAACCCACAATGTCAAACTGTAATGTAAAAATGGCTAGAAGAATTTCGACGCGGCCATCAGGGCCACGGTAGCATAATTAGTCAGTGCATTCGCCCGGATAGCGAAGGCTGCGGGTTCGAGCCCCGTCTGCTGCCTGGTCCGCGTGGAATTTTTTCTAGTTATATTTTCTTTAGATTTAAACAATCAAGCAGTTACATGCTTAAAAATAAAAAAATTAATGAAAATTTGTTTATTTATATAAATAATTGAATTTTATTTATATAAAAATTTGAAACTATAATAATAATAAAGAAATGGTTTAAGGTTTGTGTAAGTATAGCTTGATATTTTTATTCACGTACTTATAGTAAGAAAATCCTGTATAATAAAGTGAGCGGGTACTATTAAGTAAATACTTTGAAATAATAACTTTAAAGAAAATTTTTTAATAGAAAAAACGAAAAAAGCGTTGATTTTTTTTCTAGTAAAAACCTTTCTTTTGATTTAAACATCTAGCAGTTAAATGCTTAAAAAAATAAAAACATAACTATGATTGCTATTTCTTCTTTCAAAGTATTCATTTGACATTGTGGGTTACCTACAATGCGAAGAGATGGCGCTGCCTTGCAGCTTAAGGCTAGGAAAATTTCGACGCGACCATCAGGGCCGTGGTAGCATAATTGGTCATTGCATTCGCCCGGTTTGCGAAGGGTGCGGGTTCGAGTCCCGTCCGCTGCCTGATTTTTTTTCTAGTAAAAACTTTTCTATAGATTTAAACATGCTTAAAAAAACAATTATAATTTTAGCTGCTGGACGGAAAAATAAGAGGAAATTTTTCCTGAACAAAATTTTAATTTAATAATCTTCATCATCATCATCAGCCTCTTAATGTCCCCACTGCTGGGGCACAGGCCTTCCTTATGGATGGAATAGGAAGATTGGGCCATGACCCACCACGCGGGCCCAGTGCGGATTGGTGGGTGCTAACGACTGCAGATGCAGCCGGGACTAACGGCTTAACGTGCCTTCCGAAGCACGGAGGAACTCGAGGTAGAAATTTTTGGTCACCCATCCAATGACCGACCACTGCGAAAGTTGCTTAACTACAACGATCGCAGCCGAACGCGCTAACCACCAGCGCCATCGAGCTCCTCCTTTCATTTAAAATGTTATATGTTACTAGCTGTCCCAGCGAACTTCGTACCGCCATAAAAAAATAGGGGTTGGTGGTAGAAGGGTGAAAATTTAGGGATGTATGTATTTTTGTATGATGTATCATAAAAATATAAGAAAAAAAAATTATCTAAAATTAAAAAAAAAATGGGAGGGGGGTATCCTTAACATTTAGGGGGATGAAAAATAGATTACATCCGATTCTCAGACCTACTGAATATGCTTATAAAATTTCACGAAAATCGGTCCAGCCGTTTCGGAGGAGTTTAACCACAAACACCGCGACACGAGAATTTTATATATTAGATTTAGGAAAACATAATCCTTATGGATGGTTTCCACCCTTTCGATGGTTATCATAAAATATGTAATGCATGTTTTTTTACTATCTATGTTCGTTATTCGTGTTCGCTATTCGTATACGCTGTTTCTCGTTTAAACAGCAGGTTGTCCTTGTCATACTCTTCAAGGGATAATAATTTGTCAAGTTTACAAATTGAAAATACGAATAGCCAAATAAATAAATAAATATTTCCAACACTCACACCAATTAGCCTAGCCCCAAAGTAAGCACTGTAAGGCTTGTGTTATGGGATGCCAGGGTAACGGATAGAATACATATATTTTACATATATAAGTATATTTATATAGAAATACATATTAAACATCCATGACTGGAGTACAAATGCTCGTATTCATCACACCAACATCTGCCCCCACCGGGATTCGAACCCGGGGCCTCTCGAGTCGGCGACACCATGAAACCCGGCGTACAAACCACTCGGCCACGGAGGTCGTCATTACAGAAATACAAAATTTTCCTTACTATAATCCTCATCATCATCAGCCTATTGATGCCCCCACAGCTGGGGCACAGGCCTTCCCTATGGATAGAATAGGGAGATTGGGCCATGACCCACCACGCGGGCCCAGTGCGGGTTGGTGGGTGCTAACGACTGCAGATGCAGCCGGGACCAACGGCTTAACGTGCCTTCCGAAGCACGGAGGAGCGAGAGATAGTAAATTTTTGGTCACCCATCCAATGACCGACCACTGCGAAAGTTGCTTAATTTCAACGATCGCAGCCGAACGCGTTAACCACTTGCGCGATCGAGCTCCTGTAGATATAGGGGGATGAAACAACACGACAACGTGTATGAGAATACATATATAAGTATATTTAGATAGAAATACAACGTGTATTTCTATTTAAATATACTTATTTATATCTAAATATATATATGTATTCTATCCGTTACCCTAGCATCCCATAACACAAACCTTACAGTGCTTACTTTGGGGCTAGGCTAATTGGTGTGAGTGTTGGAAATATTTATTTATTTTAATTGAAAAGAAGAGTCAGGTTCGCAAATATCAAACACAAACAGCGAACACGAACAGCAAATACAAACATTTAACACAAACATCAAAGCACTACAAACAGCATTTATTGCAATGAAAAAAAGAGACCGTTACTAAGTTCACAAATAGCGAACACGAACATCAAACACGAATACCAAACACTAACAGCAAAGCACCACAACTAGCCTTTATTATAAAAGAAAAGACTTGCCAGGTACACAATAAAAAAATGTGTGCGTGTACTAGTGTACACACGTAAGAAGTGAAACTTCTTTATGGCCTTATTTTTTTCGAAAAATGATCTACATGCATATAGGCGTGCGCTAAGATTATTCAAAAACTCACCCACTAAAGGGGTATAACTACACCTTACCTTACCTTACTTTACCTTACCTTGTGTGAAACACGAATATTTGCTGCCGATACTTTTTGACGTGACAACGTCTTAAATTAGGTTGCGGCTGGGAGTCACTTATGAAAAAGTGTAACGCTCGGTAACGTTACGATGAGTTTAAGTTTACATGTACAATGTTTTAGTAAACAAAATATATTTCTATAGTTAAAATTTGTGCAATTCTTATTTTCATTCAATTCCTTGTTCCTATTGTGCAATTTAATTATATTCATATCAATAAATATTCTACCGAGAAAAAGACCGCGTAAAATCTTCGCCCGTAAAACCGACTTTACAGGCAACCATTTTTTTTTAAAGTTGACTTGTTGTTGAGTTGAGTTTTAAGGATAAGGTAAATAGTGCTCTTTTAAAAAAGATGGCGCGTAACCAAAAAACGTGACGCGTAACCGAAAAAAATGTGACGGTAAATTTTTTTCCAACGCCGATAAAGAAGTTTCACTTCAAATAGCAAACACGAATAGCGAACACGAACAGCAAACATATTCGTCCCCCTCGCGCAGGTATTGTTCAGTATGTGCGGCGACCGTCGAGGCTGCGGGTGTTGCTTGGAGCCTCGCCCCCGCCTGCCGCTGCCTTCAGCCTCGTGTCGCTACCACACCACGCCACCGGTGCCGGCAGTCTTCACTCTACAGGTCAGATATTTTATTTTATTGAAGTTATACTTATAATTTTTATTATTTTTAAAGCATGTAACTGCTTGATGTTTAAATGTAAAGAAAATATAACTAGAAAAAAATTCCACGCGGACCAGGCAGCGGACGGGACTCGAACCCGCACCCTTCGCAATCCGGGTGAATGCACTGACCAATTATGCTACCGCGGCCCTCACGGACCGCGTCGAAATTCTTTCTAGCTATTCTTAAGCTGCAAGGCAGCGCCATCTCTTCGCATTATAGGTAAACCCACCCATTATAGGTAGGTTTTTTTTTCTAGTTATATTTTCTTTAGATTTAAACATCAAGCAGTTACATGCTTTAAAAATAATAAAAATTATAACTATAATTGCTATTTCTTCTTTCAAATGTTTAATACTTGTAAAAGTATTCATTTGACATTGTGGATTTACCTATAATGCGAAGAGATGGCGCTGCCTTGCAGCTTAAGAATAGCTAGAAAGAATTTCGACGCGGTCCGTGAGGGCCGCGGTAGCATAATTGGTCAGTGCATTCGCCCGGATTGCGAAGGGTGCGGGTTCGAGTCCCGTCTGCTGCCTGGTCCGCGTGGAATTTTTTTCTAGTTATATTTTCTTTAGAAGTTATACTTCTTTAGGCGCGTTATGAAAAAATGATGAGAGTGAAATTTTAAGATGCGCGCGCATCACTGTAACACAAAAAATTAACAGCATGAAGTTGGCCAACTTTTGTGTTTACCGCACGTTAAGAAAATCTACCAACAAAATAGAAATAGAATCTCTATTTAGTGGGTGCTAACGACTGCATTGTGAACGCCTATCAAAAGTATTTATTAATCTGGAACAACGGAACCAAAGCGCGATTCAGGAGACTACAGCGCCATCTCTTGACCATTGGTGTAGTAGAACCAAAAACCACATCTTTATTTTTTGTAATAAAGTAACAGTTATAGGTATTCATATTTATAATATTTATCCACATGTTTCTAGTTTGTATATTCGGAATACGTGTTTGAGTTTCATACAAGTGCAAATCACATATGTTCTAATAAATTATATTCAGTAGCGATTTTAATTGAATATAATTTATTTTTTCAAATTAAAACTGAACTTTATTGACTGTGTCCTTTTCCAGACTTTTTATTAATTTATTGTAATTAATTATTTGCATGCAATTAAAAACTAATTTTAAACGATGCCAAAGAATAGTCCAGTCAGTATTGTCGCGAAATCCGTTTTTCCTCAAACAGCTGGAACTATGCTAAAAAGTTTCTTAAGATAGTAAAGAACACTTTACATAGAGAAAAAAATGTTTCCAACCCCGGGCAAGGGTGAAAACCACCCTTAATAATCTATTTTTCCAATTATCTCAAAAAGTATACGAGATACGGAAAAAAACTTCAAATGAAAATTGTAGATCTTTTTGAAATCTACAAAACATTATTCCACCCTCTTGCCCCTATTTTCAATAGGGGAGCCAATAATCGAAGTCAAAGATTCAATACTTAAAAAGTTAAAGTTAGTTAAAAAAGTTATCTAAAGTTATCTAAGTTATCTTAATGTAATGTAATGTAATAATCTTTACATTAAGATAACTTAGATAACTTTAGATAACTTTTTTAACTAACTTTAACTTTTTAAGTATTGAATCTTTGACTTCGATTATTGGCTCCCCTATTGAAAATAGGGGCAAGAGGGTGGAATAATGTTTTGTAGATTTCAAAAAGATCTACAATTTTCATTTGAAGTTTTTTTCCGTATCTCGTATACTTTTTGAGATAATTGGAAAAATAGATTATTAAGGGTGGTTTTCACCCTTGCCCGGGGTTGGAAACATTTTTTTCTCTATGTAAAGTGTTCTTTACTATCTTAAGAAACTTTTTAGCATAGTTCCAGCTGTTTGAGGAAAAACGGATTTCGCGACAATACTGACTGGACTAAGAAGGATAACTTCTCGCGCGCCTACATAAGTACACGCACCCATTTTTTTATTTAATCCTAGACCAAAATCCACAGCATTTTCTTAATATAATACAGGTTTTACAATATAATTTATCTTAATGCCAATTACGGATTTTCATTTTTTAGTTATAGCATAATAGTTTAGAAAACCCTCTACCAAACAAGGGCGAGATGTGTGCAATGCGCGCGCGCTATTGTATATGTGTGTGTATGTGTGTGTGTTTGTGAGTATATATGTATACATGTGTGTTTCATTTTTGTTTGTATATTACCAATCAACCAACAGATCTAAAAGTTGTTTTTTAAAAGATGCTTTACTTCTGCAAGCAAATATGTCAACAGCCGCAGCAGATATCGTACTAATAGGGTGTATCGATACAAGGAACGCAACCAAACCCTAAAGTTTTATTTCGGACTTTTGTCACACCCTGTATACGCAACATTAGCTTACATCTCAATTTTAAGTGGCAATATTATTTTATTGCAAATTATAACTTTTGGGTGGGTCTTCGCTGAGTCAGCTAGTATATTTGTTTACTTAACGCTAAAAGCATTCTCTGCTAGTCAACCTTGGGCATAAAAAAATCCACGAACGCGGCTATAATAAAAAAAAGCTATTTACTACATACATACACCAGTAAATATTCATTCAAAAAAGAAACCTAAGTATAAAATATATGCATAGAATATATTTACATATACATATACAGGCTGTGACAAAAGTCCGAAATAAAACTTTAGGGTTTGCTTGTGTTCCTTGTATAGAATTACCTACGAAAGTTTGACGCCTTTCAGACCACTTTTATGTTCTAATTAAATTAATAAAAATATCTTTGTTTCTTAGGTTTTCACGCACATCACTCATTAAATAAAACTAGTGTTTACGGGTTAATGCACGAAACTTAACTTCGTCGTCAGAATAAAACTTTAGCGCGCTTTGTCTTCAGACCTTCCAATCGGCTGTTATTAGCGGTTTTTTTCTGACAAACTTTTTGGCAAAGTTTTATTCTACGACGAAGCCTGTAAAGGCTACGAAACGTCAATAAAAAATGGGTGCGTGTACTTATGTAGGCGCGTGAGAAGTTATCCTTCTTTGGCATCGTTTAAAATTAGTTTTTAATTGCATGCAAATAATTAATTACAATAAATTAATAAAAAGTCTGGAAAAGGACACAGTCAATAAAGCTCAGTTTTAATTTGAAAAAATAAATAAATAATCAAAATATTCAATTAAAATCGCTACTGAATATAATTTATTAGAACATATGTGATTTGCACTTGTATGAAACTCAAACACGTATTCCGAATATACAAACTAGAAACATGTGGATAAATATTATAAATATGAATACCTATAACTGTTACTTTATTACAAAAAATAAAGATGTGGTTTTTGGTTCTACTACACCAATGGTCAAGAGATGGCGCTGTAGTCTCCTGAATCGCGCTTTGGTTCCGTTGTTCCAGATTAATAAATACTTTTGATAGGCCTTCACAATGCAGTCGTTAGCACCCACTAAATAGAGATTCTATTTCTAATTTGTTGGTAGATTTTCTTAATGTGCGGTAAACACAAAAGTAACAGCATGAAGTTGGTCGCTTTAGCGAATTTTTTGTGTTTCAGTGATGCGCGCGCATCTTAAAATTTCACTCTCATCATTTTTTCATAACGCGCCTAAAGTAGTATAACTTCAAAAAAAAAATGCAAAATGACTTTTAAACGTAAAACGACGTAAAAACAAATATATTCTATCAGTTTATTAATAATAAACAGGCTCTTTTAGGCCAGAAAAAGACAAACGTACTGTTTCCGTCTCTTTCTAATGACACGCATACCGCGTTTCCCCCAGTATTGAAGTACCCCATTCAGTGTTGCGTGGACATTTATTTCATTTTCCTTTAACCTAAAAAAATCATTAATTATTAAACTAGCATTTATTACAAGCATATAGCATAAGAAATTAATCGCCTCTATATTAAATTGTTACGTTTCTGTTTTATGTTGTTTAGTAAAAAATGGGCACATAGTAAAATAAGCAAATTATAATTAATCTATTAGACAAGTCCGTCCGTCCGTCCGTCCGTCCGTCCGTCCGTCCGTCTGTGGTGCTGTTTCAGCGGCCAAACCGTAAGAGATAGATAAAGAGAATATTTAAGTTATAAGTTAAGAATAGTCTGATAAGACTACAAACCGGATTTGAGTAACGTAGCACTTCCGGTTTTCGAGAAATCACGAATTTCAAACGAAACCACACAAAATCTCCGAAGTTCTCAATTATTTAAATACATTTTTGTTTTTAAATCAGGTTTTGGTGAACATTTGGTTCACTGGTTTGCTAGTTATAATTAACTGTTTTCGGAAAATAAGTGACATATTTTTTTTTTTGATTATCATCAACCTTTGTTCATTAATCAATTAACAAAGGTTCTAATTAGTTACACAGACTGGTTTAGTATACAATCACGAAAACAATATTCCTATCCTACCATTAACAATAAAAAATATGATAATAAACGACAACTTATAGCATTATAATAAAAAAAAACAGCGCTTGCTGAGTTTCTTGCCGGTTCTTCTCAGTACAAGGTCTCCCGCTGTAGATTTACGAACCGATGGCGTAGCTTCTAGACATTCATGAGTGCTTGTAACAGCCTAGACTGAATAAATGATTTTAATTATGATTAATATGATTATAAAAATAAAATGACCAACTCTTCCATCACATTTTTAGCGTTTACCAAAAAACAAGAATTTTGGATTAGGTCACTTCAATTCTAAAGGTATAATAAAGTGATGTCGACAAGCTAGGACATCAGCTATTTAAACATAATTTATAGCTTATTTATAGCTTTTTATATAATTTAAAGCTAATTAAAGCAATTCGTGCAAAATTATCCCCTAACCATTCCAAAATATCAAAAATGCACAACGTTTATATTCAAGTTTTCACTTCTGCCGGCACTCCGGAAGTGCAACCCGCCGTTTTTTCTAAATGGCTTCGCACGGCCTATGCTTTTAGCCAATGTCAAGTGTTAAAATGTTTACAAATTCTATAAGACCCGTGGACAAAGTAAGTGACAGTGACAGTCAAGTCAATCCCCCTTTCCCTATGTTTCAGTAAAAATGTGGGGATTTACTGTAACTTCCCTGTAGACTTGTTGAGGGAACGTCGAAAGACACTTTCCGCTGTTTTGTTTCACTTGCCAACACTTGTGCATGTTCCCGAACACTTCACCGAACAGCGGATTGGCGGGTGCAGCCGGGACCAACGGCGTAACGTGCCTTCCGAAGCACGGAAGAACTCGAGATAGATGATTTTCGGTCACCCATCCATTGACCGACCACTGCGAAAGTTGCTTAACTTCAACGATCGCAGCCGAGAGATCGCTCCTCGAGCTCCAGAATACTAATATGTATAAAAATTCAATAAATACCGATTCATACATAGTACGTTTAAATAGTCTTTTAGTAGTTTTACAAAGCTCCTCATAAATAATACATTAATAGACTGATACTAATACATGTATTATTGTTACAGAAAGATAACTCGGACAGCGAGTCCGGTTCCCACTCGAGCTCGGACGAGTCACAGCTGGACGAGTTCCCGGACCAGTTGTCCGACAAACATGACATCGGCCCAGTGTCAGATTCACAGTACGAATGACACATGGACAATTTGGAGGACTTGCTATATGGAGATCTGGACTGCAAGTGCTAAAGTGAACATTTCGTGAAAAGTGCTCGGAAATAGCTGAATGTTACAACAACCAGTGCGTGTAAAGAATATTAATTTTGCCCGCTAAAGTGAAAAACTGTGCTAAAATATGAGAAACCGCTATAAAAGTGTGGATTCAAATCCAAATGTAATGGTGATATTTCAGTTAACCCGCAGTATAGTTCAAGTGTTGAAGTGATAATGCGATGGACTGAATCTTTGTATTTTTAGTTTGTAATGTGTATACTTAAAATAAAGGAACTTTAGGAAGACTGAGGTGTCGCTTCTGACATTCTGTAAGCCTAAAATTAAATTAGACAATAGCGTATCCTTGTCATTCTTTATACAGAGTGAAAAGGAGAGACCGATGTTAAATTATAATCATGGCAGACCTCGACACCTTAGCGTTTCTAAAGATGTACATACAGATGCAATAGTGTATTGAAATAAAGTCTTTGAGCGTTCCTTTTTGTTGCAAATAAAACCGGTTTTAAGTGAGAAGGGTTATGCTATGCCTAACGGTGTGAATCAAACAGGACATTTCTATGAAACTGAAGTTGTTTGATATCTTTCAAGCATAGACCTCTGCCCGGCATTTCTTATTCAGTAGGTACCTATGTAATTATAATTAAAATTTTCATTCTAGAATTGAAAAGATTTGAAAAGTTAACATGAGTAATTTTTTAAGAAATTTCCCTATAAAATTGCTTTACAGAATAGAGGTGATGATGGGGTACAGTAAACGATATTCTATTTAGTCCGTCAGTTAGATGATCAAAAAATAATGGACACGTTTTTTTTCTTTAGGCAATCAACCAAAAAATGACAAAGTTATAGCGCGTCAAAGTTTGCGAGTAGGGGCTCGTGACGTCACTTTTGAGTGAAAAACGTGACGTCGAATTTTCAAATCAATATATCTCTGCAATGTTTATATTATGTGAAAAAAGAAAAAATACGTGTCCAATACGTGTCTAATCTACCTGATAAACGAAGAAAAAAAATTAGTCATCCCTATTGTGTATTTTTTTTTTGTAAAAATATATAAAAGATCTGTATTTAATTGTATTGTTAAAATCTATGTAGTACAAATCATATTCTTGTAAGTGCTTATGTTTCCTTCTATAAGAAGAAATACACCAAAGATGCGGTTTTTTGTGCATTGTTAACCAAATCATTATGACGAAATTGTAAACTTGACGAAATATTATTTTTATGTTTGTAATATACGATTAACTGGTAACTTTTGTTGATGTGCAGAATAAAACAGTTGCTTTTTCCTTAAATGGTTGTTTTAATCGCACTAATATAATAATGGCGAAAATTTCCGAGTGTGTTAGTGTGTATTAGAGATGGGTCAACTAGCCGCCGACTAGTCGGGAAAAAAGACTATTCGGCATCGTTTATAGTCGGCGACTATTCGGCAAAACATGCCGATTATAATCGGCACATAACAATCACATAGAACTCAAAACTGATGCTTGTTTAGAATATTTAAACAGTGCCTAGAGTATGAATCTACCAGTAATTCAGATAACACAATGAATATCGTACAAAACAAAATAGCAATGGGAAGTAATGGCGAAAATTTCTGAGTGTGTTAGTGTGTATTAGAGATGGGCCAACTAGCCGCCGACTAGTCGGGAAAAAAGACTATTCGGCATCGTTTATAGTCGGCGACTATTCGGCAAAACATGCTGATTATAATCGGCACATAACAATCAAATAAAACTCAAAACTTATGCTTGTTTAGAATATTTAAACAGTACCTAGAGTATGAATCTACCAGTAATTCAGATAACACAATGAATATCGCACAAAACAAAATAGCAATGGAAAGTAAGTATGTATTAATGGAGTAAAATCTAAAGTGCTAGCGAATCTTAAAGAAGTCTATAGGTCATTTTTTCCCCCTTAGAGGCAAATTGTGATGTTGGAACGTGAATATTTCGGCTCGATTTGGGGGACTCGTGTAGTGCAAGTCGAGTTCGACGAAATATTCCGAACACCTTCCTAAGATAAGTATTAGAATGATCGGCATTGCAGAATAGTCGACCGACAAGTCGGCAATTCGAAAAGCGATTAGTCGTCTAGTCGGCAAATACTATAGTCGGCCCATCTCTAATGTTTATGTTTGTTACTTCTTCACGTCTAAACGGCTGGAGCGATTCTAATAAAATTTGGTATGGGGTTAGCTGACACTCTGAATTAACATATAGGCTACGTTTTACTGCGGGAAAATATCCCTAATAAACTGCAGGTAACACCGCAGGGCAAAGCTACTTTAAAATATAACAATTTGTCATTCTTTTAAAGGACAGATGTTGTGCTACGTCTGTGATTGTGAATGACAGACACTCTTCAAGCTCGTCTCTGACTTTGAAGGCAATATAGATCCATCATAGAATTGGAAAGTCCAGGCTGCTATGCCATGAAAATCGATGGAGGTTCAACGATATCGGAGGTGAAAACCTTCATTGACTGGACTAATAGCCCCTTTCGAACAGATGCTCCTCATTTGTCATTCATCGAACAAAGATGAGACAAAACATAGAGCAACTAATCCAAGCTTCGTTTATGAATAACAGGGATAAAGTTCAACCAAAAATAAAATAAATTACTGGAATAATTCTGGCATAAAGACTGTAAATATTTTTAGGAGTTAAAAAATGTTTTCAACAATGAAGGTTTAGGAAAATTTACGCCACCAGTTGGCGCCACTGTGACATTTGATCTTTTGTATGAAGCTTTTAGCGCGAGTTAATGGAACTAACATTTAAATCTGAGATTAAATTGATCTATAGACTATGAAGACATGTGATTTCACGGACGAGTTGACCTTTCGTCTCAGTGCTGCCACCTGGCGCCCGTCTTTGCAGAAAACCCTCATTTCTATGGTATTCATTTCCTGTGTGGGATGCGTTCGCGACGAGCATGAATGTTGGAAGGTAACTCGGCGAAGGCTGAAACGCTCCGAGCGTCACACGCGACAATATATACCATTAAATAAACAGAGAAAATGATACACTGACAGATTGACTGACTGACTCATCAACGCACAGAAGAAAGGGCTGGACCGCCGCGCCGCCTAATGTTAGGTTACTTAAAAAAAGAATATTCACTTCAGATGTGTACTCCGTATACACTATTTTTTTATACATTTTGTTTAGTATCGGCACAAAGTAAGCGTTCGAGTGACCGCCATTCACGGAGCACCCCCACTAGAGTCCGCATACAAGGGCAAGCGCTTACGCCAAGCTTAAGTAGTATTTTACCTATGCGTGAGGCACGCCTACAGACGTCGCGATACATCGTTTCATTCGGTAACCGAGCGTTGGTCGAACTGCTTCTCTCGTTTTCGTGTTAAAAAACTGTAAAAAATGCCGTACTGTGCAATTAAATTGTGTGGAAAGTCGAGTACAACTTCCAGTCTTAAAAAAAATGGTATTACTTTTCACTGATTAGTTTAAATGCATTACAAAAAGACAAAAATACTGTTATATTAAATTGGTGTTAATTGTATTTATTTTTTGGTGAACGCGTTGATGTCTTTTTACACTATCCCTTTATCGCATGGGCTACATCATATATGCTATCTCGCTTTCACACCGGCACGTGTATTGTTAGTGACTCAGACGCAGCTCATGTCTCAACGCGTAAGTTTATCGATAAGTGTGTCATGGAAATTGAAAAAATAAATAAAAACTATTTATTTCATCGTATACCATAATAGATGTCATGAGTATACAACCAACAGTTTTTATTTGACTTCAAACATATCCTAATAAAATTGAAAAAACGCGAAAATTTGTATGCATATTTGTTACTCTTTCACGCTAAAACGGTTAAACGGATTTGTATGAAATTAAGTGCGTATAGTTTATGACCTAGATAAAGACATAGAATTAACGATATTTAATACCCTAGAAACACCACGAGCGCTCAAAATGTGTCCCCATCAAGAAGTACTTGAACTCCACTCAATCGCGGACCGTTGAAAAGTCAAGATGCCAAAGAGTTCCGTGAAAAAATACAGAAAAATACTAATAGGACGTAAAGTGTCGTTTTTGCGACGGGTAGCTAATTAATGTTTTTTAATTAACGCCTTTAAAGCAAATTTTATTGTTGTAATACTTACTATAAACTGATTTAATATAAAATATTTGTGATATTCAAATGCATGGTCGGTTATACGTCGCCCTTAGCCATCTCTTTTCTTCGCGATCTGTACCTGCTATATTGCTAACAGCGCATTCAGAATTGCGCGCGAAAAGTCAAAAAAATAAGGTCTATATTCTTTCACACATAACAATAAATCGTCGAATTTTACGAACTTGACGCGTGCATTTTAATTAAGACCTTATGCCGTATGCATTAAAGGTGACTTTCAATGTTTAAAAAAGGCATTATATTGTTTTTGACCACGCGATCATCTTACGGACCTCCGCGGATCGTTCAATGTACCTTTTGGACACGTTTCGGCCACGATTTTGTTCGTGTTGTTGTATCTAGGGTAGTTAATATCGTTGCATTAATACTTCTTGTCCTGGGCGTGTTTTTTTTTGTGTTACTTATATATAATTTAGTATGTAGTTACTAGTCGCGTCATGTAATTAGAACGCTGGAAGAAAGTGGAGAGGGTATGATTACGCATTTGCTTACACTCGCGCACCAAAGTACTAGGCCTCTATTCTAAATTGTTTATCGATAGAAAATATCGATATTTTCTAAAATCGATCTTACCCTCATCACTTCGCTGCACTGAGTATATGATCTGAACTTGACGCGTCCAATCACAGCGGGGCTGACCTCACTGCACCCCACCGACTTTGGCGATTTTGATTCCAAACAAAATTTGTGTGATGCGGACTCTAGTGGGGGTGCTCCATGCCGCCATTAAACCACTAGCGGCGGCGATCGGTGACTGCGTCTAGTGGCTGAGTGAGTCACTAGTGGCACGTTTAGTGGCTCAATGTGCGCTTGCTCTAAATCCATGGTTACGAATTTCTAACTTTTTTGTAGCATCTGCCTCATGTTATATGAAATAACTAGCGGTCCGCCCTCGCTTCGCTTCGGTGTAGAGCTGAAGTGTAGACTACAGTTTTTGTTCTCAGGCTTGTATTATACACAATGACATTCATCTTTGATTCTTCTTATACCTGCATGCAAAGTCTCAGCCCGATCGGTTTAAAATTGAAGTTTCATACAAACTTTCATTCCCTATTTTATCCCCTTGGGGGTAGAATTGATCAAAATCCTTTCTTAGCGGATGCCTACGTCATAACATCTACCTGCATGCCAAATTTCAGCCCGATCCGTCCAGTGGTTTGGGCTGTGCGTTGATAGATCACTATGTCAGTCCGTCAGTCAGTCACCTTTGAGTTTTATATATACATATATATAATATATATATATATATATATAGATAAGTGTGTACACACACCGCTAAAT